AATCAGAGCGTGGCAAATTACATGTAACAGAGACTATATAGTATACTCGTGACTAACTAATTAATTAACTAATCAAAACAACACCCTAATTAATCTCTATAAAACAAACTAAATTACTTGACTCAATTAATCTCTATAAATTAAATAAACTAAATTAATTCACTTAATTAAACAATGCCCCCATTTTTTTCCAATCATAAATACCCCTCCATATCTTAACCAAACCACCATACGTAACAACAACAACATCACACTTTCCCTCCCTATAGCTAACTTGTTCATCCATCACTTTCTCCCCTAAATCAAAATCTCCCCACACATTTTTTTCTCCCCCCCACTTCATTATACACATCATCAAACCACACATAAAATCTCAAAACTGAACCGAACCGAACAGAAAACTATCCCATGTCGTCGGAGTCGAGCACGGTCGCGTCCCGTGCCCTCGCCACGTGGCGCATGCGCCTCGACTCCGCCCTTCGAGCGGCCCTCGCCTGCGCCTCGATCGGCCTAGCCACCATCTACGGCCCGAAGCTCGTCGCCAAGGAAATAAAATTCGCCGCCTTTTCGTACCTAACGGCCGTGCTCATCGTGTACGATGCCACTTTAGGAGACGCGTTGCGCGGGTGTTGGCACGCCGTATGCGCCACCGCGCAAGTGGTCCCGGCTGCCGTGCTCCTCCGGTGGGCGGCCGCCGGCGCCGGAGTGCCGGTGGGGGTGGCGGCGCTAGCGGCAGCGGCCGCCTCGTTTGCGGTGGCGCTGCCGGAGTGCACGCACGTGACGGCCAAGAGGATTGCGCTCGGGCAAGTTGTGCTTGTATGCACAGATGCGGTTTTGGTGGGTGGAGGAGAAGGAGGAGGAGTTGAGTGGCGGCCGGCGTACGTTGCCGCCAGCACGGGGCTTGGGGCCGTGGCTTCGGTTGTGGCGATGTTGGTGCCGTACCCGAGCTTGGCGGGTAACAAGGTATGTTTTTAACTTTTAAGGGCTAAATGAGAGGAAGTTAGTTACTATATATTAGTTGAACGTTTTAGTTGGTAGGGACTTCGTATTTTTTATTTTTTTTAGGAGGTGAAAATTTAACGGTCACTTTATTTGAAAAGAATTGTGTTAGTGGGGAATTTAACTAAGCATATAGTAAACTTCTTGCATCTCTTTATTTAATTTTATTTTTAATCTTTTTTTTTTAATAATAAAAGGATATGGACCATATGGTGGTAACTTATAGTTGAATAAACTTGCATGTTTGGGGCTAAAATTTATCTTAACACTTGGAAAAGTTTGCAAGGACTACAAATTCTTTGTGATTACTTATTAGTATAATGGTTTCGGTTAATTCGACCCTACCGAGTGGAGTGATTAGGTTTTTTACCGTTGGACACACATAGTCACCTAAGTTTGCACTGCTCTAAAAGGTAAAAGAAAAAAAGAAAAATCAATGATGGATTCAACCATGGTTTCTTTACATGTAAGGAGAAAACTTGTGTGAATCCATGTGATGTAAATCAAACATGGTAAAAAATCAACTTTTTGTTATAGTTACCAATTTTTAGTAAAAGGACACACTCTCAAGTTTTACTGAGATGAGAGTTCACCGCAAGATTTGTTGTGATCAAGTGATTAGCCTGTCAAAAATCGTGTGTTGTTGAAAAAAAAAAAAAAAGATCACATCATATGTAAACCAACCCAACAAACCACTGTGTAATGAGATTATGCTGTCAAATCCAATTCTGAAAACCTGTTGTTATTCTGGAAAAAATCTCAACTTGAGTGCATCAAATTTGTTTTAGAGCACAAAAGTGACGAGACAAAGTTGGCAAGTTCGATCCTACCTGTGTGGTTACTTCCCACATCGGGTTTTAATCTCTCAAATCACACACACCTATGTTGACACCTATGTGGATATGTGTTGATCCAATGGTTAAAAATCATTGCCCACACGGGTAGGATGAAATTCACCGGCAAAGCCTAGATCATATATGTCTGCTTTAGTTTTCTGGAAAGATCAAAATTCTCAAAACATTTCATTCGAATAAATTATCTATTCCCCAGGAAAATTAAATAATATCAGCACCAGAAACTTGAAATCTTGGTCCTGAATGCCGTAAACGCATAACATTGCTAATATTCAGTTTCTTAACATTCCTCAATTCTTACCAGGTAAAGAAACTGTGCCGATTGTACGCTGAAAACGCTACACAGAGAATCGACTTATACCTGAGAGCTTTCATCTCCAGGGACCATCATATTAAGCTGGAGCTTATATCGCAAGCTAAGCCATTGGCTGAAACAGGAGCCAAGCTATTGCAGAGTATCAACATCTTACAGGTAAAAAAAACTGCAGCATAAAAAAAAGGCAAATTTGCCCCCTAATATCCTGACCTTTATCGAAGTTGCAATTTAATCATGATTTTTTCACTTTTGCAAATTATATCACAATCTTTAGTTTGTTGCAAATATTCTGAAAACAGCCATAGAAAAGCTGATGTGGTCGAACAACAAACTGAAGATTGTGATATAGTTTGCACGAGATATGCAAATCAGTGCACCAATTTGCAACAAACTGAAGATTGTGATATGATTTGCAAAAGTGAAAAAATGAGTTTCTACACAGAAAGTTTGACCTTTTTTTCGACTTTGATGAACCGTTTTCCTCACAAAGATCACACAAGTCATGCATTTCATGTACAAAGTTATTTAAAGAAAGAAACAACACTGTTTTTTCCAGAAAGGAATGCAATGGGAGAGACCTTTGAGCCGATACCTGAACCCCAATTCGGTGGGCCCCGCTGACACGCTACAAATGATTGAACTCCAAATGAGAGGGATGGAATATTCCCTGTCACATTCCTCTATTTTGCCGGTTCAAACAACCAATCAAGAACAACTCTCCAACTTCTTACAAGACTTATCATCTCGTCTCAAACAGAGAATCAAGCATCTCGCCTGTTTTTCTCCTTCCCGATCCACGACAGAATCAGAAATAAGAAAAGAATTCACAGAAAAGCCTTTGGTATCATCATCACTAGACCACGAATCATCACTTTTCTACTTTTCTTGCATAGACATGTTAATAAAAGATCCCACGAATCAATTCGTGACCCCAAGAGAACCCCATAAAAACCCGAGGAGTCCCAAAACAGAATGCACGGCTTTTCAAAAAACCAAAACTTGGATCCTAAATCTCTCCAACAAAGGGCGGCTTGAGTCCGCCCTCAAGTGTTCCCTCTCTCTAGGCCTGGCCCTTCTATTCGGCTTGGTCTTCGACAGAGAAAACGGATGCTGGGCGGGCCTCACCATTGCAATCAGCTTTGTCATGGGCCGGCAGCCCATATTCACGATGGCAAATGCCCGAGCACAGGGAACAGCTATTGGATCAGTTTACGGCGTAATATGCTGCTTTCTCTTTCATCACGAGGAGTTTCGGCTTCTAGCCCTCCTCCCATGGATAGTCCTCACAAGCTTCATGAAGCACAGCCGAATGTATGGGCCGACAGGTGGGGTCTCAGCCGCCATAGGAGCCCTGCTGATATTGGGCCGGAAGCATTATGGGCCCCCGCATGAATTCGCAATCGCCAGGCTGGCGGAGGTTTTCATCGGCCTGTCGGCTCTTGTTACGGTGGAGCTTTTAGTGCAGCCGGCCAGAGCAGCCACCCTGGCCAAGAATCGACTTTTCCGATCACTCTCTGCCCTTCATGACTGCATAAAAGAAATGGGGATTTGCGGCCGGTTAGATTCGAAATTTATTGAATTAGGTGAGAAAATAAAGAGTTTTGATACTCAAGTACAGGAACTGAAGAAGATTGTTGAGGAAGCGGATTTGGAGCCCGATTTCTGGTATTTGCCTTTTCGGGCTTCTTGTTACCGGAGGATTGTTGAGTCCTTGGATAATATAAAGGATATGTTGTACTTCATTGCGTGCGATTTCGAAATCCTTTCAGAGGTAGCTGTGTGCAAGGACTTGCACGAGCAGGTGAATAGTGAGTTGGAACTATTCCAAGAAGCTTTAAGATGCTCGCAGGTTTATCTAGAGACAGCCAATATGACCGAGTTTCGAGCAAATTCTAAAGAGGGCTCGGATGAGAACTTTAGAGACCTCGAGGCTGGGAAAGAGACACACGAGTTAAGTGTTTTATCGAGCAAACTTGAAGTTGCAAAGAGAAATAGAGAGGAGGCTGGCAATGAAGATAATGAAAAACTGAAGGAGCAGATGATTCAATGTCTTGGCGCAACCGGGTTTTGCGTAAGTTCTTTGATGAAAGAGATAAATGATATTAAGATTTGTATAAGGGAAATCAATCAATGGGAGGACCATCCAATGAAGTAGGAAGATTTCATTGAAACTTTTCATTTTTCTTTCATTTAGGCAGGTAAGAAGCAAAAGGAAACTCTATTGTACAATGTAGCCTTCAAAGACTTTAATTTGGGGCACTTACTGGCAAATAGTAAGCACTGCCATTGATGTCGGCCCTTGTTTCACAATGAGAGTTGTAAATTCTAATTGTAATTTAATATGCCCTTGCAAGTAATATTCACATAGAACAAACAAGACTGGACTACTTTTCAACAGAAAAATGAATCTGAGACTGTAAAATCAGATCAAACATTATGTGAATCTACATACAAGATTAATGAGTAGTTAAATTCATGTAACATTCGAAAATGTAGGCACAACTGCAAACCTTGCTAATTCAACATCATCTGCTTCTACTCTGTTTAAAGAACAGTATCAATGTCTACAAATAGCAGCTGTTGCTTAACTCAAAGCTATCAAATGTGGCAATTACCTCAAAACTATGAAATGTGCATTGAGATGAGAGTTCATCTATGTGAGAAAAAATGTACTCAATTATATCCAACAAATTGAGAGTCAAATCTCATTCCAATATAAAATTAACCAGGAAGGTTAAGGGACAAGCTGAAAAGGCATCAGGTTGGATAAAATTTGAGCTGGGATACCATGACAAACACACACACATTCAATCCCAACAAAACAAAATTAACATAATTTCCGTGTGAAAGCCAAGCCCAGAAAATTCCACTGTAACAAGATGAAAAACTTCACAGAGAATAATAATGCTGAAATTGATAACAATAATCAGAAACGAGAATTTCATTGAAAACATAGATATGAAAACACGAGTTCAACAAGCTAACAATTAGAACAATCCCCACTTCATACTAGAGAAATTTACATAAAACCCTAACCCTATAGCCACCGCCACGAACGCAAGAGCTCAGCCACCGAAACCATAGAGAGTACGGCCCTGCCTCTTAAGGGCGTACACAACATCCATGGCCGTCACGGTCTTCCGGCGGGCATGCTCAGTGTAGGTGACGGCATCGCGGATGACATTCTCCAGAAAGATCTTCAGGACACCGCGAGTCTCCTCGTAGATGAGGCCGCTGATGCGCTTGACACCGCCCCTCCGGGCCAGACGGCGGATCGCCGGCTTCGTGATGCCCTGGATGTTGTCCCTGAGCACCTTACGGTGGCGCTTGGCTCCGCCCTTGCCGAGGCCCTTGCCGCCCTTGCCACGTCCAGACATTTTTCACGAATTAGCTCTTGAAAACGAGAAAAGGAGAGTGAGAGATTTTTCTGAAGTTGATGGTGAAGCTAATCGATGTGAGGCGGAGTTTATAATGGGACGTTGGGAGGGGAAATGAATCTGATCCGTTGGATAGAAATGCTTAATCGACGGGTAGCATTGGCGATCCTAGTCGCATAGGCTCTGCTTTTCTGAGCCGTCGATAGGGTGTAGATCGACGGTGGTTATTGCTTGTTTCGTTAGTTCGCGGATCGTATTTTTTCTTTTATCAGTTTAACGGAGTTTGCACTTAGTGAGTGTAATGCTGAAAACGAACGCTTCTACATGTGANGCAAAATAAATTATATTGTTTATATTGACAAAAAATTGTAGTAATTGGATTGTGATTTAAAATGAGGTCAGATATTAAACAAATCTCGCAGTTTTGTTATGGAGCTATCGGATAGCTCGGCTTATGGAGTCATCCACAGTTTTTCACAAATAATGTATTGATACGTGTCCTGCAATAAATGCACTTTGGACATGTGTTAGTACATTAAGTGATGGATAACTCCATACGAAAATCATTCGATGGCTTCATAGAATTTTTGATCTCGTCGAAGTCAATATTAAATCAGTGAATTTAACTTGGTGAAAATATTTGAATATTTATATTCATATTCGTATAAAATTTCATTTATGATTCTTATTATATTAAATTAAAAATTTAATATTCGGTGTAAACACATAAATATGTTACATTTATTATATTTTAAATATTATATAAACTAATTTTTAAATTTTACATATTGTATTAAGTTTGTAATTTATTACTAATGAATCGAATGTTTGATAATTTTGAATCGAATATATTTACAGAAAATTTTTGAATACAAATTACTAATCTCATTTCAATGGTGTTATTGTATCTATATCTATATCTATATTTATATAAAAAAGTTTGATTATTTTTAAAATAATAATTATTTCCCGCCAAAAAAATATCATTTACTATATTAGAAAATTAATAGAGTAATTTATAGTATAAAGTGGATGAAATGTTTTTGGTATAAAATTTTATTGGGATATTTAATTTTTGGTATGAAAAATCATGACAATGTATTTGGAAGTATTTCCAAACATAAAATAATTTACCAATTAAAAACACTTTACCCTAAAAAGTAAAATATAAATTAGATATAACAAAAAATTGTGATTGCTTTTTACCTGAAACGGACCCACTATTTGTCAAAATTGTACACCATTCAATTTTTATGCATATTTAGACTAAAACTACAATTTTGGAATTCATTTGGGATCAATTGGTAGACTATTTTCTATCTAATTCAAAAAGATCATACCACAATTTTGGAACTAATTTGCAATCAGATCAATGGGTAGAATATTTTATATCTAATTTAATAATTCGTGTCAATTTAGGATTTTTATTTTACAATTAATTCCGATTAATTAAATCCCCGTAAATTGTGGAATTTTAGTTCGTTAATATTTGAAATGCTAATCTGCTTAGTATGTCTTTGTAAAATAGAATGTATTTCTTTTAAAATCAAAATGATCCTTGATGAAATATTAGTTAATAAAATTTAAAAATTGTAATTTAATCTAAGGATTTAGTTGATAAATTTGAACGATAAGGTAAACGACAACAAATCTAGATAATTACAAGATATTATATATATATATATATATATATATATATATAATTTATTGTGTAGATAAAATTTGGGTTTCAAGTTGAAAAGTGAAAACTCAAATAAATAATTATTCATAACTTACGGGTTAATATTAACTTAAACGTAAATGGAATAGTCAATTATTTATAACTTAATAAATTATTCAACCACTTAATTATTTAAAATTTGAATAGTTTATGCAAAACATAATCATTTTAATTAATGAAACAATATAAGTTTTATAATTATACTTATTATTCACATAGATTCTTAAATATATGGTAAAATTTTAGCAAAATATTAATTTATGGAATAACGTTGTAGTCAAATCGAATTTCTAAATAACAATTTTAAAATGACACTTACTTTGAAATGCATATAATATAATTTATTAGTAGTTACATGCACGGTACGGGTTGTATAAATAAACATGTTTTATGTAAATTTTTACAATTTAAATTTTATGTAACATTTTCAATAAATTAATATATATATATATATATGTTATATTCTATATTAATTCCATATTTTTAATTTGTAAATATTATTTAATAAGCATTTGTAATTTATAAATATTAATGAATATCTCTTACCCGTACATCGCACGGGATTCGTACTAGTTTCATAAATACGAAACATCGAATCCATATCACGAAATGAATTAAGTAATATTCGATTTTATCTTTGGGGAGCACTTTTTTCTCTTAATATTAGTTTATAAATTTTACTGTGTCTAGTACAATTTATTGATTTATACAAGTATGATCATATCTCTTTTTCCTTGGTCCTGCACTACGATCGCAGACTGTAGTTATGGGCTCCTAATGGGCTTACAACATATAAATGTCTGGGCTAATTTCAATTTAGTTGACACTGGTCTAAGGGTATATCAACTTTGGGTTAAGCCCACATTACTTACTATGATTAATTGGGCCCATATTCTTTCCCAACCTGAATCCTTTGAAGCCTCTATGCATTATTGTCATTCGAACTTCAATCATCATCTGGTATAACTTGGTGGAAAGGCCTAAATGGTGTTTAATATATCTTATTTATCAGCTTTTAGAAAAATTTAATACGAACGTGTTACTTTGCAAGACAATCAAAATTCCAGATGAATTATGCGTGGATTTAGCACGAGTTGTTTGTAAGTGTGTATATATGTTCATTAGTACGAGACCTTTTTTGCTCTTAGCTCAAGAAAAAGAAAAAGAAAAAGAATGTGAAAACTCACAAGTAGAGCTGCAAACGAACCGAGTTGAGTCGGAGCATTGGCCTTATCGAACAAGATTGATTTTTTTTTTTTAACCTGCTCGAGCTCATTGAGCTCAATTTATGATGCTCGAGATCGACTCGACAAAAGAAGACAATCGCTCGAGAGATCGATTAAAATTAAATTCCCGAAAGATTGCTCGAGCTCGGCTCGACCTTGAATCAAATTTCAAGTAAAATTACCATTAAGACTATAATATTATAATATTTATATGTAAGGGGTATTTAGTAATTCACGAGTGGCCCGGCCTTGCAAAACTTATGCTCGAGATCGACTCTCGAGCCGCTCAAGCTCGAACGAAGCTTTGACTCGAGCACTCGCGAGCCGCTCGATTCATTTACAACCCTACTCACAAGACTATGTCATGTAGGGAAGCGTACGAGTGGAAAAGATAAACGAGTAAACGAGATACTCTCTCGTAAAACACGCAAGACTCACAATCTCTAATCTTATTTCATATTCAAATTCAACTACTCGTCACACAGCAGAAGAATTCTTTAAATAAACCCCACAAACTAAACTTAGTTTATTCTCTAAACTGCTATTAATTATTAAATAATAATAATAATGGTAATAATAATAATAATACTTATATTTATTTTGCATCATTCTCCCCCCGGTTAAGCAGGATTCACCCTCGAATCCGACCCGTTCCCGTTGGAGACATCCTCAAGACAGGAATAGCCCGGACGTTTCCCCCAATCGAACACGAAGGTTGAAAGTCGTCCAACAACCCCGAAGGTAAATCTAATCTTGAGCAAGGATTGATCTGCTGCAAAGGCACATGTACACGCCTTCATACGCATAACGCACACAACGGAAGTAACACCAAACATACCACAGCATTCGCCACGCTCAAATCCATAACTATGACCAAACATCCCGTTGTTGGGAGACTTCACGATAGACAATAGGAAAATAGCCCACCCGTTATTGAATCTCGACATCGGTTCCGAAAAATCATCTTTGGCTAAGATACTTCAAAAATCGGGTGTGAAGGACGGCTTCCCATTCAAACTCAACTGTTGCGATGTCCCATGCGGGACCCATATTACTGCATAAATATGTCTTCGTCACCGGAGACTCCTCATAAAAAATCGACGGACCGTCGTAGATATCGCACATGTCGGGCTCAAAATCCGGAGAATATATAAACTCGAAGTCAAAGCCTGCTTGTGGTTGTACAGGCCTAAAAAATAGATTAAATCCATTCCACCATTGGTCCCGATAAATGGAATTGGGCCGTCTTTGCGCAGGCCCAAAATTGGGAAAATAATATCGATCTCTCCTTCTGCATCTCCGCTCATCGCGATACCCTCCATCTCTGCCTAAATCACATCGATGCACCTCTGCCAATCCGGTGTCGGTCCCTCGCCGGTCGCGCCCATGGCCATCGGGCCATCCGTCAGCGGTGCGTCGACCGTCAAATTCCCAATCCGCTGCACGTCCTCCATCGGGCCTCCGCTGTGCGCATGGCCAGAAATCGCCTAGGGTTTGTTCGTCTGTCCAGGCGGCGCGAATATGGTAGTCGTCGGCGTCCTTAGCGATGCGCCGCCCATCCTGACCCCAGCCTGCCTCAGCACGTCGTAAATTTCTCACGGGAAAGTGCAACCCGTCGAAATCAGGCACCTCCAATCGCCATCGGTATGTGCCGCCATTGTTGGCAGCCTCGCACCGGGCGTCCCAGCGTTGTTGCGACAGATCGAACCCAGCAAAAGCTGCGCCCTTGCGATCGAGCCCCCTTCTGCGAAAATCACGATGCTGACTGAAGCTTTCAGTTCGACGGAAATCGCCTCCTAAGGTTGCGCGATTGAGCGAGATTTGGTAATCAAAACCCTCCTCCGGCTGCTGCTGGCTGCCAAATCAGAAATCGGCCAAGGTTTCCTCGTCGCGCCTCCCCGTGGAGCCAACGAACGGGCTGTCCGCTGCCCAGGTGCTCTCTCTGTTCTCCGTGCCGTTTAGAGGCGACGGGGACCGCTGCCGGGGCGCCCCAACATAGCCGCTATCCCCACGTCCTCCTCTGTCACCCCCGCGATTGCCACGGCCCACATCCCCATCGTGGTTCGTCTGCAATT